AAACATTGTGCATATGTGTTTCTCCCAGGTTGTTTTCCCCCTGCTCTTCACCAGCCTTTATGTGTTCAAATCCTTTGTTTATCTCATTATGCTTTCAAGTATTCTATGAATAATTATTAAGTAGTCACACTATATATTAAGGTCCCATTTGTAAATAGTTCATAAAGGGTTAATAGAGAAGGAACAACTGCCTTAACCATAGCACTTGTTGCAGATGGTTACAAACACATCAGTAGAAGATATTGCTAGAGTCCTGTAAGCAACTTGCTGATCTGCTGGATTTTTCAATAACCAGCAATAATTCATTAAAATATCTATTGCTTATTAACCATTTATTACATATTTATAAGAGGAATATGAATATAAAGTATGCATAATGATGATGATAATCTGTGTTGCTTAAAGGGGACACGAAATACCAGTGACATTAAAGAATCAAATTGAATTTGTGGTGTTTATTTGCATTATGCGTCAGTTAGCTTGGACAGTGACACTATTGTGATTGTTTTAATTTTATTTCTACTCATTTTTACCTTGTGTTTCTTGGGACGATGAAGGTGGGTGTTGAGAATTGATTTCAAGGCTGCGGGGAAGTTGTTTGCATACGTACAGAATGCATTTTCAGGATCCAAAGTGTGGTTTTTTTCAGTCTCACATTTTTAATTTCACAGAATTTATTTTTTCATTTTCCAGTCTTGCAAACCTCATTGAGCTCAAAGTGTGATCTCCCCTCCACCAGCATAAATAAAAGAGACACAATTAGAATCTTTTGCGTTACCCAAGTGTAAAAGTGATCAAAGGGAAGGACTGGATCCTGTGTTTGGCTTTAGTTCCAAAGTCTAGGTCTTTTAATGGAGGGAAAAAAACCAGAGGGCTTGTTTACACATAGCTGTGTCATCAGTACTATACTGGCAAACCTCTTTCAGGGAGCTGCAGTTTTTACTAGCAAGAGAGGTTTTTTGCCAGGTGGTTTTAAACCAGTTCCCCAAAGAGGAAAATCTGTGCAGGCCAAAGGAATTATTTTCAGGAATAATTTTCTACTTCAGTAGTTCTCAGCCTTTGTAGATTCAGGGTACTCTCCATCACTTTTCTGAATTTAGCATCATCCTGGTTGAGAACCACTGTTGTACTTGTCTTAGTGCTTCTCAATGGGGGTGCAGCCACCATCACTGCAGCCAGGGGAAAGAGCCGCATGGGGAGTATGCAACCTGGCTGTGAAGCAGCTGGAAGGAGCTCCCTCTTCTGCTAAAGCCCTTTCCGGTCTCGGTCTGCACAGTGCTCTTGGAAGCAGAAATTTGCAGGATATTTCTACCTGCCGGCAGTGTGGCAACCTGTGTGTTTACTGTGGGTTTTCCAGCAACTGCACTGCAGCTTCCACCACCACGTAGAACAGGGGTGGGCAATTATTTTGGGCAGAGGGCTGCTTGCTGAGTTTCGGCAAGCCATCGAAGGCCGCGTGACAGGCAGCCCAGGGCGGATTAATATTAATTTTCTAAATTTTTTAGGGGCTCCATGGGCCAGATAGAATGGCCTGGTGGGCCGCATTCGGCCCCCGGGCCACATTTTGCCCATTCCTGATGTAGAACTATCCAGTGCACCTCTGTATCCAGGAGGGCGGTGCAGAGCTGGACCATCAAGATCTATGCAAGGCTTGAGGGGCCATTTTACCTGGTTGTGGCAGCAATAGTGGCACCAGTCCACAGCACCCTAGTTGAGACCTAGTAGTCTACTTCAAGGCTTTTGTATCCATACACTTGCTAATTAAGGAGGCAATTTGTGGATGTGGATAGATGAAGAATGAAACTACTTTAAAATGTGTGCACAGGGCTCTCACAAGCCCATCTTAAAAGCAGGAATGATTTGGGGATTCAGAGTGTATCGTACATAAGTACTTATCTCAAGTTTGATTTAACTACCTTTGTGTTGGATCTCTTTCAAGAGCTAATGATAAACTATGTTCATTTTCATTCCTTTTACCACTGTGTGGATCATGTTCTTCTGTATAAAGCAACTTTTGTGATTTTTCGACATAGTGTAATCAAAATATTGTAGCCAGGTCACGTGACAGAAATGCTTCTCTCTAGCTAACAGCTATTTGTCTGTCTGAAGAGCTATGGCATGCATACTGAATGGACAGAGGGGCAACAAAACTTTGTGTTAGTGGCCAATTGCATTTCAAGGGGAAAGATCTATTTATCAGAGAAACCCAGATCCCAGGTACCTGGAAAGAAGGACTATTGAAACAGAGACATCCAAATTGCTGGGGTGGGCACCCAAAATAGTGTGGGTATCAAGCCACTTGGAAGGAGAAATCAAAGACATAACCAGCTCTCTCCTTGGTAGAGCTGGGTTGGGGGATTATGCTGACTACTGAAGACTGGAGAGGAGTGGGGAGCAGAGTCGTACCTGCCTTGGGTCTCCGCACTTTGACAGCAGCTGCTACTGCTGCAGCTCCTGCTGTTGCAGCATAGGATCAGGCTCTTTGCATGCTTTCTGCAGCAACCCTGTGTAGCAGGCTCCCCAGGGTCCACCCTGGTGCCTTGTTTGCTCCTGTGCCCCCCCAGGTTTGCTACTGGGTGCAGGGCTGAACCTCCCAAGACAAAGTCTTTTGGGAATGCCGTTCTGGCATCCCCTCTAAGTTGATGCTCAGAATTGGTGCCTCCCCTCCACCGCCCAGTTACCCTTCTGGAAGAAATATTAGCTGTGCTTAATAAGTGTCTCCAGGGAGAAGTTCCAGATTCTGAGAGTCCCCAAAGAATAGGTAGTACAGTAAAGTTGAGAGAGCGCGGGTGCTGGCTAGATGACATTTAGGAGGTGTCTGTTGGGGAGTGGTGATCTTTGGAAATTCATACATCTTGGTCCACAGCTGGCAGTGCTGGTGGATTCAGGAGGCAGGCTGGTCTCTAAAAACTACCAGGAGTTGCCAGGATACCCTGAAGTACTGTGTTGTAATCAGACAAGATAGACAATGCGAATTTGTGGTTTTGATTGCCTACGGTAAAGTATGATTTTAGGGCAATTGGTAACTCAGGCTTACCTCTTCCTCAGAAGGGGAGACCTGTCATTTTATGGAACCCAAGGGGGAGACTCCTGACACTGAGGCTTGCAGGGGCAAGTTGTCCCAGGGCTTGCCTTAGTTTGATTCTTGAGAGCCATTTTTCCATCCAGAGAACAGAGAGGAAAGATGGGAAGCTCCCTGACACCAGGGTTTGTGACAAGGGGAATAACTACTCATAAGAAAGCATCAGCAAATCTTCTGTAATTGTTTCTTGTGTCCAGTCCTGTAGTGGACACGTGAAACAATAAGTAAAGTTAAACCACAGTGAGTGGTTTACACCATAAGTAAAGTTAAACTACAGTGATTTGCCCCTGAATTAGAGGTAGGATATTATTATGGTTTAGCTTCCACTTTCTCAGTGGGTTAACTGCTTTGTTTTTCTCTCTCCAACCCGGCTTGCCTCCCTCAGCAGTGCCTTCTTTTCCCCTCTCCCATCCCTAACCTTTGTATTCTAATCATGGCTTTCTGTTTAGCAGCTCTGCCTCCTGCAGTCCCTTCAGTAGCCTCGGATGAAGTAAGCCCTACGCTTACAAAAGCTCATGCTATACATTTCTCATTTAGTTAGCCTGTAAAGGTGTAAATCTACCCCACCTTCTGCCCCGACTTTAGTCTAATATGGCTAACTAGCTCTCTTACCTTCCACTTACCACAGGATAGAGAGGACAGCTGAAATAATTACAGCAGCCTTCCCTGGGGGCCTCTCAGGGCTGCAGTGGTGACGATCGGGTGTGCGGACCCTGGCCAGTCACCAGAGTGTGGTTCTGGCCAGCCAGGCTCCAGTTTCAGGCAGTGCATGCTACTGCCATGTGCACCACCTGTTTTGTTATTTTTTCCCCATGTTTTTTTTTAGATGCCGGGATTTCCCCTGAAAGGGAAAAGCTGTATAAGGCAATCTCCTGCACCTGCATTTGTCCAAGCTCTGTATACCTTGCACTGAGGAGGGAGGTGTCAGTTATTTTGGTGTCAGCCCTGGGGGCTGCCAGATGTTCCCTATGTGTTTGGGTGGGGGCTGTGGTTTAGTATTTGTGTTTCAGTGAGTGCATTTTGCAGCAATGTTTTGCTTGTACGTCTTCCCAGCATTTGCCTGACCCAGGCCTGAATCACAGGGTGCTAGGAAAGGGCAGGCAGGCAAGAATACCTTACTGTGGGGTTTATCTCCCGTTCCTCTGGTTCTCCGATTCATCTTCTCTTTTGTCGCTACAGGTGGAAATCCCGAATATCCAAAAACAGAGGAAGCACTTAGCAAAATTAGTACTGGACATGGATTCCTCAAGAACAAGGTAGAAAGCATCTCGTTTGTCATTCTCCATCCCCCTCCAGCTGACTGCATTGTAAAGATGTCGCTCTGGGGAAATGGCAGTTCCTGTTGTTTTCATTTTGTTTTCTTTTATAAAAAAGGGTCCCTGAGCAAATTTAGCTCTGGTTTGTAAGGATGGATCAAAAGCTGGGTGGATGGAGGGAGTGTGTGGTATACTCAGGCGTCATAGTTTGGGCAGTAGTAGTACAAATTCGTTCCCTTCCAGTCTGCTTCTTTGCCTCAGTCTTCAACCATGGTGACCCCATCTGTGGGAGCAGTGGGGGTTTCAGTTTTCTCCAGTGGGCTTGGTGACATGCAGAAGGCCTGAGACTCCCACCAGCCTACTCCACCCAGGCTGTCAAAGCCTTCAAAGTTCAATAAAACAGTAAGGCTCCATTTTCATTTTGGTTTTGTGCCATTATATCAGTCCGGGTCAGGGTGAAACAATCCTGCCCCCCAGCCTCAGGGTTTACCACTCAAAGGATAGTTTTGATGTTCTGTCTAGAGCAGCCTGTGGGGAAGTTGGGCATAAAGCAGTCATTCTCAACTTTTTTGGCTGGCGAGCCAGATGGGCAGTGCCCAAGCTGGCCACAAACCAGACAGAGCTGGTGGTCCTGATCCAGCATGGGGCAGTCATGGCAGAGCCCCATCTGGCCACATGGAGGGGAACAAGGGGCAGCCTGGCTCCAACCTGGCCCCTGCGGGGGTGGGAGGCATGGAAAAGTGTTTCCCAGCCCTGGTGTGGACCCCCGGGGGGGGGGGG